ATTATTATAATGAGTATTAAAGATATGCTCAAAATGTTGATAAGGGAATTGTGGAATAAGGTATGTTTATGATTAAAGAATGTGTTTTCAAATAAAAATAAATTGCTAAATTAAAAATTTAGTTAAATATTTTGTAAATCCTTAAGTATCCATCGCTTATACCCCATTGCCGAACCATTTCTAAGGTATTATTAAGCTGAGCATTCCAGTCTTAGCAGCTATAATTTTTCAGTTCATTGAAATAGTCTGACAAACATTTCGTCTGATGGTTTTTATTTGAACTTTAGAGATGAAGAGAGGGATAATAGATTGAAATAGATGAAGCTTACTCGGGTGTTAAAATTTATAGTTGCATGTTTACAGGCAGCCAAGATTTATATGATAAACACCTTGGCAAGTGTCAGCCACAGACAAACAGACAAACAGATATACAGACAGACTCACTGGAGAGCAACTTAAGCTATAGAGCGGAAGCGGAATAGCAATAACAACTCACACCGCTTGACCCGTACAACTCCCCGCTGAATTGCCCCACCCATGCAGACATGTAAGTGGACACGTTTATTTGGATGATATGTTTGCCTTTGTGCACTGTCTGGCTTCGTGTTTGTCTTGGCATGAAAATAGTCAGCCGGGTCCAGTTCAGCTCTGTTCAGTTCAGTATCGCCACGCCCCGCCCTCCTCCGCTCCGCCGGATGCAGGCATACATATATCTCTGTCAATGACAGTTGTCAACATGACAGTTATAGGGACAACACAAATGTAACGGAAGTTCGCTCGCCTCCATGCTCGAGACATGCTTAGCTCTGGAACAACAAGTCTGGGGCGTGTCTTGAGAAAAACTTTGATTTACAACGGAGTGATTCGGGCAGCAAAGAGCATTTCTTATTGCGAATATTCTCAGAAATTACTGGTAAGAATCTTTGTTGATTATTCGCATTGAAGAAGGAAAAGTTCACTGAATTCTAGATACAAATAATCTTAAAAGCCATCTCTTCTAAATGTATCCGATACATTTGGGAAATATGATAAATAATAAATATTTTAAATGCCCAAAAATAGCTCAAATTTGACCAAAGAAGAGCAAAAAGAAAACATATTCCAATGCGATAAAAATGGTTTGATATATTATGAAAAATCTAGATTGCTTTACAATATTCTATATTCTACCAATTTATGTATGAATTAGCAGATGAATTAAATCCATAAAAAAAGTACAATTAGAGACAATTTCATCTTCAAGGAAATAAATTTTCAAACAATTTTTTTTTTTAAATAAAAAAAAAAAAAATTTAATCGCAAAAATAGATTAAAATTAAAAAATAAAATAAAATAAAAAAAACCCTTAAATTTTAGGATGAAGAAAAATACAATTAAATAATCAAATAAAATATTTAACAATAAAATTAATCAAAGAAGTTGCTTAGTCACTCTTCATGGCTTAACGCACCACCAATTTACAGGGTATAACCTAACAGCATGGCTTACATTGTTTGCTCTCAATTCGATGCATGGCCGTAGCAAACTCGAATACAAACAGTATATAGATGTACATACCTCGACTAGCAGGGAAATTCCCACTTGATGGCCAATAATCAATGCTTGGGGCCAACGTAAATGCCGCCAGAGCTGTCGCCGCTGTCCTCAGCCGTGGCGCTCTCCTCCTCCGGCTGGGCCTGCCGATTGCCGCAGGAGACGCCATTGTTGTTGCTGGTCTCGTACGTATCGCTGTCATCCACCAGGCAGCACTCGGCGCAGTCATCTGTCGATGAGTTGATCTCATCGCTCAGATCGTCCAGCAGCGTCACCTTGGGCGCCATGCTCTGGCCATGCTCGTCGGCACATGTTGGGGCCGAGGCGCCTGCCACGGAGATCTTGATGTTGCAGTTGTTCGACGTGGAGGACGACTCCAGCTGCTGATAGTGCTGCGGTATGGGCTGCTGTATGGGCGCATGCGTATGTGTGTGTGTGGCCCGGTAGCTGAGATTCGGTGTGCGCTGGCCCATGCTGGCCATGCCCGGCGGCATTTGAGTGTGCGTCATGCTGATGGTGGGCGGCACACTCAGCGCGGTGCCCACTTTGGGGCTGTGGCCGTGGCTGCCATACAGCTGTTGCGTATCGGAGGCCAAATTGTGGGCGGTCAGCTGTAGAGGATGCTGATCCTTGCGTTCTGTAAACGAGCACAAAGAAGGGGGCAGAGTAAGTGGGAGCCACTCAGGCAGTGTCACTATCGGAAACGGAAGTGTAAGCGCATGTCAGCGCATTGTGCTATCAGCCGGGCACATTGTGTGCTCGCTTCATGCCAATATTGAACCAAAACTGTTATCAGTGAAAACTTTTGCACAGCAGCAGCTGCTGCTGCTGCAGTTGCAGTTGCAGTTCGTGCAAACAATGGCCTAGGTCAACAATGTGGCCCCGACAGCTAACACAATTATCTATCGGAAAGCTATGCGGCCTCTAGTCTAATAATCGACTCACCCAGGGGCACGGCAGGTTTCGGCTGGAGCGGCAGCATGAAGTCGTGTCCGGTTGTTGCCGCCCTCGGCTGCAGGCTCTGCACGGCGGGCACACTTAAGTAGTCCGCTAAAATGCCAAAAGCAGTTGAATGTATTTTTTAATGTGCTCCAGCCCAAATGTAAACAATGCTAACCAAAAGTTTAACTAACAATGGAAAAAATAAAATAAAAAATCAAATACAAATAAAGCAAGAGAAATTGCAAAAAATCAGAAATCCTTCGTGGCCATGCGAAAACTTTAAGAAAACACGCAGGAAATTTTCCAACTTTTTTTTGCTACAGTTTGTAAAATATTTTGACAAAAGTTTTACAAAAAAAAAGAAAGTTTTTTAAGGAAATCTTAAAAAAGTTATAAAGTCAAATTCTGTTCTTTCTTTTTTTTTTTTTTTTTTTGTCATATAAAAAAGTAAGTAAGTAAGTAAAATTTGAGCTATTGAAAATGTGTATAATTTCTGGTGATAAGTGCGAAAAACTTAAATTATAATACAATTATTTCACAACTTAAAGATGTATGAAATATCATATAAATAGCAAATATTATATTATTACATTACAGTCAATATATTTATTAGGTAAACACTTTATTTAGCCAACCTTTAAGCAAAGATATAAGCAAGCGACTTGGATTAATCATGCCAAAAATATATTATTTAATTTAAACATAGAGTAGACAAGTATAAATAGTTAGAAGACAAGCATAAATACTACTATTTATTACTATTTCTACTACTATTTTTTTTTTATTTTTATATAAATTTCATATCATATTTCTTGGATAAGTTTCAAAGATCGTAAATGGTATATGTAGCAAAATTGAGTTTTATTTATTTATTTATTATTTTTTTTTTATTTCTTGATTTCAGCATCTACAAAGCCTTCTTTACATTTAGCAGTTTCTGCTCCCCTTGCCTCGCATACATATTCACACTCTCACTCTCACTCACTTTCTCTCTCACTCTCTCCTAAGCTCTCCCTCTCTATCTCTTTTATCAATTTTAGTTATTTTTGTCTTTTATCTACCTTCAATTTATTTATTTCGCTGAGTCTTAAAAATAAAGCATAGTATTTTTGTATAATTATTTTACTTCAGACATTATTTATTTATTTCAACCAATATTTATTAGATAATATTTTTTATTGTATTCCCATAATTGTTTCTGCCATTCAAACAGAATCTTATTTGTATTTTCAGCTTAGCATGAAATATGTTTCATTTCCCTTTTTAGCCATAACATTTAAATACGTGCCCATTATATATCCCATTACCGGCAAAATTTTCTTTTCAATTTGGCGCAGTTTCGCCATTTTCCGACGCCGGCTCTTAGCGGCTTCTCGCTAGCCATTAAAAATGCAGACGTTGGAAAACATGCGCTCAGCCGAGGCGCGCAAAACTCGTCCAGCAGAAGAAGTGTGTGAAAATATTTTTACTTTTGCACTTTTCTCTCTCGCCTTTTTTTTCCACGGAGCACAACAATTTTAAGAAGTGAACAAAATTAATCGATAGGTCGACTGCTTAAGTAGCAAAGAGGGAATATAGGAAGACATTTTTGAAGAAAACTTTACAGTTAGGTATTCACCCGAGCCGACATACTACTTAATATAAGGACTCTATCCTCTGTTAGGGTATACAAATTAATTTACGGTACAGCTGCCCAGGCAACACGCACCAAATGGAGCAGCCGCCGCGCCCAGAAAATGGGCGTAAAAATAAATAGGGGCATGAAATGTGGGCACTTCCACCAGCACCGAGAGCCCCCGAGCCTTCGCCTCCCCCCCCCCCCCCCGAGCCAGCATCCGCATCGTCACTTCGCTCCGAGGTGTTTTCAATGTTGGCTGACGAAATTGCATTTAATTTTGCAGGCCTGCACCACTGTGCTGTGCACACATAAATTGCTGCAACGTCCAACCATTTGCGTGGTGTGCTGCCCATTTTAATGACCACTAGAAGTCGACACAGAGAGCAACCTTGCCACACTTTCACGCCCACCAACCGACCATGCCTGCTAATGATTTACTTGCTATTTTTATGCTCTTTGTAGCATGTAGCTGGCTGAAAGGGGTCAGAGCTCGCAGCGGACTGTGTCTAAGTCGGGCCGTCACCTAAGTGAATGCCCCAACAAATAAAAGAAAGAAAGAAAACAAGTAAGAAAGCTCCAGTCGAGACTGCTCGACTAGGAGATACCCTGAACCCTCCAAGCTGATATTCTATTCATTCTGYACTTCTTTTATGYACACATACATACACRTGCATCCACACGCACGCATAAGCCTGCGCTCTGCTAACTGCGCAGTAAGCAGCGACTGCGCTTGGGCTGCGCTGCAGTGTGGGCAATATTATGAGAATTTATTTGTTAAATAATTTCTTTTGTAGACATACGATCTTAATGAAACTTTTAGAGCGTAATCATATGGTGAATATGTGTGTATATTCCAAAGCCCAAGTCTCTAGTATTTGAAATACGCTTTTTACAAAAGTGAGGGTGAGGGGGTGAATTTAAGGGTGGGGGGTAAATTTTAACAAAAACCGAAATTGTATAAATTGCATATAAGCATACATTAAAAATTTGGAGACTCTAGCAATAA